AGAACATAAGTTTACGGATGTAAGTTGTAAAACTGTAAAAAGTATCTCAGTGAATGTGCTGGCTGATTGGTATGTGATTAGGTCTATGATTCTGGTAACACAGGAGAAGATATATGAGTGAAGGCTAAGTAGGGCTTTCTGGACCCAAAGGCAAGCACTCAAAGGGGTGACAGCAGCAGCTGGAAGAAGAGCACCAAAGGCTCACTGCAGCTGGATAGCATTTTTTATCAGCTTCCGAGGGCCCCAGGACAGTGGCAGAGGAAGAGGAAAGCTGCTATTGCCTTCTATCTCATTAATTATATCAGATGGCAACAGAGTCCAAGACAAAGTGTAGAAAATAAAAGCAAGTAAACAGCCCTGCCAATGTGTGTTGCTAGATGTTGGCTAATGACGGAGACAGCAATAAAGGACTGTGATGGGTTTTAAGGCAGTCCTCTCCTGTTGCTTTCTCCACTCATCTTCAGAGTCAGAGTTACTCAGGGACACTAAGGACAAGCAGGGCTGATTGGCCAGGCAGGGGGGAGGGAAGCTGAGGTGCTCTTCAGTGAGCACCAGGCAGTAAACATGTCACATAGTGAAAGCACAGTCACACAGCTGGACTGTCTTGTCTCTCCCTCCCACTCAATTTCATTAGGGTCATGTCTATCCGCAAACCTTCTGTGTGATTAAAAATGTTGGCCAGCCCTGAAGGTGATCAAGGGAGCATGCAAGGCTCACAGGCACTCATAAAATCTCTGCACTTGTGACACTAATAAAAAGAAACCCAGAAGGGAGGCATGCAGAAAAAGTATTGCTTCAGAAAGAATCAGTGGTCTGGATGGGTAGAGAAAATTGTTATGCATGGCACAGGCAGGGCCCTGGATGAGGTGAAGCAAGACATGCTTATGTGGAAAGACAGACTAGTCTGGCTCCCTACGGAAACAGGAAAATGTTCCCACTGCTTTGTAGGCAAAACCTGTCAAAGACAGTATTTGTTATGCTTACATCAAGATGTCTTAGTTGTACCCTAAACTGAGGATGGGCCATTGGGTTTCTGTTCACAATGTGGATCTCAGTCCTTCCCATCTCTCAGTAGCTCCAGGAGGCATCCAATCCCACTTCCAACCCCATGTGAGGTGAGGCATGGAGTCTGAACAAGTGAAATCCTTCAATAGCCTCAAATCTCACAGGTTTGAGGTATTTGCAGGAAAATTTTACTCATGGATCTCTGAAATAGATGCATCTTCTTCTGACCTAAGAAATAAATGCCAGAAGAACTTCCTTGGTCACTCAGTAGCCATGCCAGAACTTCCTCATTAGCAGACATGAGGCGTGTGTCTAAAAACTGAGCCAAATGCACCGTATAAGCAATAGTGAAATAGATCTTCTCCATCTGAGCACCAAGCCTTTATCAGTCACTTCTGTGTTGAATTTTAGGATCCATTACCATTCTTATACCACATCAAAAAATCACTGCCATGTGTCCATCATTCAGCAACTGCTTTCATCTTCTTCTCTTTTTCAATCCTACTTAACCATAAAAATCCCAGTTTCTCCTCTAAACTAATCTTCCTTCGATCTGACTTCTGTGTCCATAATTTTTTTTCTCATATGCTTAGAACAAATTTGAATTTTCAGACTGAAGAAAAGATTTTTCCATTAAAGAGAAGAAGGAAAGAAAAAGTACTGATCTGATATTTTCTGTAATTCTTTTCCTTTACAGCAGCCAAGCTGATATATGGAAATATGTGGAGGTTCATACTCTCCTAAACAAAAAGCCTAGCAGTTTGAGAGTTACACAATAAAAAAAAAAAAAAAAAAATAGTCTAGGAATATCATCAGATAGAATAACATATTTAGAACAATAACCTTTACTCTAGTGCCCACTGCTTATCAATATCAATGTTGTCATACTCACAGTACATTCAGTAATCCCTTCCTCTCTTCCTTGTAGTCCCATATTCTTTTCTATGACTTAGTGCGTCCTTAATAAGATCACTTAATTCTTAGAGCAACTTCGTATTTTCACTTTTACAGGAAATTGGCTGACTCCTTGGGGAGATGACTAAAGGACACACAGTGATAACAAACCAATGATCCTCTTCAACAGGAATTGCAGAGAAGTCCTGTTGACTCAAAGAATGAAAATAAGTGACTGATTTGAAAGGAAATAAACCCTTAAGTGGAGGAAATATTGACAAAAACTGTTTTTTCCCCAAATAATTTCAGAATTGAGGATTAAACAAATCTTATTAATTGGCAGATTTGCTGTTTGTTGGGAAGAAAAGTGTTGCAGAGGAAGCCAACAAAAACAACAGCACACAAATGGAAGGGAATGGGTACTATCTGGTTCTACATAGATATTTGCTTAAATTTTTGCCTTTTTGTACCCTTAACCGCTACACTGAAATCAAATGATTTAGCTTTTCGGTTCTAATTTCACCATCTGTAGGTAAGTTAGATATAATAAGTTAGATATCACACCTACATTTATACCAAACAGGATTTGTCTCTGAATGAAGACACTTTCCCCTTGAGGTCTGTTCTATTCAACGATGAATCTCTCTCTGCCAGAGTCTATATTCCTATTTCTGTCCATGGATATCGGTGTAGACTATATAGTCAGTGCAAAGCTATTCAGCTAACCCTAAATTATGCTGGAACTAAATATTCTCTTGTAAAGTGCTGACTCTAAACTTCTGTCAATTTGGGGAGCTTAGATACCAAGTGTTAGATTTAGCTCTCCAAACGCAGATACCTATTGCCATCTAGGATTCCATAGGATACCCACGTGAGCCTCCAGCTGCTGGTCCAGAAAGACAAAGGTTCTGTGTCCAGTCTGCCCATCCTACTGGGTGTCCTGGATCCCCTCCCCATGGTGTCTCAAGTGGCATAACACTGGCAGTGAAAAATTACCTCAGCTCCTAAGCCACATGCTGATGTGGAGACACCTAGATTTAAGAGATGACTTTCTAACTTTAAAATACTGCAATTAATTTTGGTTCAACTTTTTTTAAAAAATGATAACTAAGAGATGAGTAGCAAGCCTTCTTCAGTCTGACAGTACTTCAGCAGATGACCAGAATAAGGCTCTGTTACTGAATGAGAAGAACTGTAAGAAGCTGCTGCTGAGCACACAAACCCACCTTCAGTTCAAGGGCACTTCAGCATCAGTTAGATTTCTCTTTGCCAGGAAAGAACTAGCAGTACACATATGGAATAGAATGCTTACAAATTGCCCTTCCCTAAAGAGGAGAGAACACCAAACAGCCTAACATACCACTTACACACAGTGGTTTGTAGCACAGTTTATGGACAGCAGTGAAAATGTGCATATTTTAAAGGGAAAGCTCTCTGTGGTGTCTCTTCGGTTTGTAATTTTGTGGCAGCAAAATAACAAAACTTCTGCAAGTGACATTTCCCCAAATAGTAACTATTGTTTTTTAAAAGCAGTCTGTTACTATGTAAGTAATTATCTCCTTTCAAATTTTTAGAAATCTTCTTAGGTTTGTCTAAAACCAGCACTGTATCAGTTTTTTTTTTTTATATATACTTTCTCATTCACATTCCAGTGCAAGAGACCCAAGGCAGTATGCAACACTGAAGACATCTTTAAAACTCACTCGGTGTAATAGAACTTCACTATAAGGAATTCTGGTGGGGCCTGGACAGATATTCATTATACTGCGTGTTCCTTATGATCAGTTTTGACAATTTATCACATCAGAAAATTAGCAAATGTCTGATTTAAAGGGATACTTAGTGTACAGTTCTTTAAGGAGAACTCCTCATACAGGTTTTAAATATTCATCAATCTTTAAATGAAACAGTAAAAAAATTAAAAGGGAAATATATGTTGTTAGATTAGGAACTATCTACCTTAACTTTAGTCAAGCATCCAAAAGTCAGGCATTTAATCTAGGCTGCTTGTCTAGGCTCCATTTACAGTGAGTTGTGAGAAGTAATTGGTGATACGTGCCCCCAGGGTGTAATTTAATCAACCTGCTTCAAGGATAGAGTTTAAGATAAAATGGAACAGTTTTTGAAGGTGCCCCTCTCTCTCCACTGACTTAAGGGGAAAAGTAGAATAATGGAGCAGAAGATACCTAATTTCTAAATGGTTCAGTGACGTGTGGTGAATCTTTGCAATAAATCAAGGATATATATAAAAGGACAAAAATGCAAGGCAAGGCGAAGCAAGGAAATTAGACCTACAAATCTCATGTATGTTTCTGACAAACAAGGATAAATACTAATGGGATAAATGTGGTGTTGGTTGTTGCTAGATTAAAAAAAACCAAACAAATAAAAAAAATCTTTCAAGTAAAGTTTGTATAGTGAAGATAGATCATAAATCCAAAATAGCACTGATGCTGAACATTTAGTGATCTAACTGAGACCAGAATGTGCCCCTCCAAAATTTAAATAGACTTAATATGGTGCACAACAGTTTTGTCAGTTTCTATTTGAAACTGAATTTCACCCATAATAAATTAGAATTCTCTGGCAACTGTCCCATAACCTCTACACATTTCTGGTCAATGCTTTTAATATACAAAGGCTTTTTATCAGTAAACTATGTCTGGACTGCAACCAAACTCCAACTCCTACTCTTTCTCCATGCCACAACATTTTTATAAAGCTGAAGAAACTTACCATACTGAACCCAGTGCTTTGAAGTCTAAACATCAATACACCAATACACCATATCAATGTAGAATAGTCCAAAAACAAGTTACTTATTGCCAAATTATTCCTGCAGTATGCAGTGGTCAAACAATGCAGTGTTTTTAACTGAAAAGATACTGCTCAACTACAGTCTGTATTTAAGTGCTGTCAGAAATTGATTACCATTCTTGTATCATTTTCATTGATTTTATTCTTTTTTTTTTTTTCCTTCTATGCATTACTGACTAAAAATACAAAGGAATTATAAGTATAATGGTCTCATTTCAGAGACTTCCTATGATGACTAGTAATTGATCTTCACCATATACACATATTAGAGGAAATTAAGTTACCTGAAAAGGCTTTTGTTATCTGGCACAATCCCTCTTTACTGCAAAGGAAATACTGAATTTCTGGAAGTAGGTTTACCTGTACATGAAAGGAGAAGCTTTAATTATTTCACTCAGAAAACAGCTAAACAGCTTTTTTTCTTCTTCTTTTTGCTTGATCCCTCAATGGCTTTCTGCTTAATTTATTAGGAATGCTTCATGCACGAAACTCCCATTAGTGTTACAATTTTGCCATCTCTGTGACACGGAATAACAAATTTAAAACATGGGCTTTTACACCATGACCATAAAATGATAACATTTCAGACTTGTACCTCTAATGTCTGGCTGCTGAGCTGTCACCCCTGCCTTGCCTGCCTTTTCAGTGCACAGAAAGCCTTTTATGCCTCTAGAATTTCTGTGTTTGGGCACTGTGGTAAGCTAACATAACAAAAGCACATCCAGTCTCTGCAATGAGAAACTGTGTTGGGCTGTCATATGGACATGTCAGCAACAAGCAGTGTTAGTCCAAAATTTAATGTTATCCAGAAACGCAGGCCATCTGGTTTAAGTCTCTGCTGTGCTGCAGATTTCCTTATGGAACTTAGACAATTCCTTTGATCACCTTATACCACAGTTATCCATGTGCAATACTTCTAGACACTGCAGAGTGTTGCGAGGATTGTTACATAAGGATCAGATACAGTAGTATTGCATTGAATGAGTAAAAAGCACTTTGGAGAAGCCCGAGAAGTTTTACGATCTGAGATCTGAAATCATAGCATCTGTATTTCTAACAGACTGGAACTGATATAAAAACTACGGTTTGGATACAGTGAGATAGGGCATCCTGTCTTCAGCAAACACACAGAAGTGTTCTCAGCACGTACTTAATACCCAAAATAAATGCTTTCCAAAAGTAGCTCTATTTCTCCCAGTCTCTCAGATCAGAGTCTCGCCACTACTATCTGTGCTATTTCACTTGAATCATAAGACAAAATGTGTCTACAATTTGGTCACCATTTTTCAAACAATATCCTCAGTTTGTCACTTATATATTTCACCAATAGGCCAGGCATTTACCTATCTAATCAATCTAAACCGTACCCACAACACGGTCAAGTTAAAATAAACAAACAAGCAAGCAGACAAACAAGCAAATAAATTAATCTTATCATCACTGATGCTTTGCACTATGAGTAAGCAGACTGCTGTGTCAGAGCAAAGAACTCCCGCCAAGGCTTTGGACGGTGACAGTAGTTCAGCTCACACATTGTAGTACAGTCACAGTTTGGAGAGATGCCTGAATTATGTTTACAAGTAGTAATTGCATTAGATAAAACTCAGGATTGACACAAACAGTGCAGCCTGAACTAGTCCAGCTTTATCTCCTGCTTGTTTTATTATTCTAAAATATTGCCTATATTTACTAATTGTTTCTCCTCATTCCTAAATTTTATTTTTCCAATGGAGCACTTGTTTAAATTTCGTCTGACTTCTGCAGATACTTTTGCTGCCAGACCCTCACACTGAGGTGGCCAAAAATGCAGAAGTTCAAAATAAGAAGAGAGGAGCAAAACTTGACAATAACCAGCTTTAATTCCATTTATATTAAAATCCCTACATCCAAAATAACGTGTTATGTCCAAATGGGAAATTGCTTTTGATCTCTGGACAAGATATAAAATGAAATGCTGATATGTGAAAAGTATTTTTCAGTAGAGAGGAAACTTGAAAAAAATTATTTTATATCAATTCAATCATCTGCTACAGTGTAAAAGGGGTATCAGATACATTTCTTTTTGTGAGTGGGTGCTGAATAACTGGGCTACCCATGGGCCCTCACTCCCACAAAGAATAACATAATCACATACCTTCTGGAATAACTCCAGTTGATGCAAGTCATCTCTCTGAATGCAGCTAGTATCATCATCTTTTGTGGAAGATAAGCAGATCAGAAGATCCCATGGGCTTATGCTACCTATTGGGAATGAAAAGAACCATACTGAGAAAGAATCACAGAACCACAGAATCACAGAATCGTAAGGGTTGGAAGGGACCTCCAGAGATTATCGAGTCCAACCCCCCTGCCAAAGCAGGATCCCTACACCAGGTTGCACAAGTAGGTGTCCAGGTGGGTCTTGAATATCTCCAGAGAAGGAGACTCCACAACCTCCCTGGGCAGCCTGTTCCAGTGCTCCGTCACCCTCACCATAAAGAAGTTCTTGTGCGCATTGGTGCGGAACTTCCTATGCTCCAGGTTTGGCCATTTCCCCTTGTCCTGTCTCCACATACAGCTGAAAAGAGTCTGGCCTCGCCACTCTGCCCCCCACACCTTAGATATTTATAGACCTGGATCAGGTCCCCTCTCAGTCTTCTTTTCTCAAGGCTAAACAGACCCAGATCACTTAGCCTTTTTTCGTAGGGGAGATGCTCCAGGCCCTTCACCATCTTTGTGCCCCTCCGCTGGACTCTTTCCAAGAGATCCCTGTCTTTTTTGTACTGGGAGCCCAGAATTGGACACAGTACTCCAGATGAGGCCTTACCAGGATAGAGTAGAGGGGGAGGATCACCTCCCTCGACCTGAAAACATCATGCAACTCCTATTTGAACTAAAGTACTTAGAGCAGAATCCTGAGGAAGAGCAAATTGTTGGAGTGCTGAGTACATGAACAGCTACATGTGGCAGAGGGGAAAATGACATTTAACTATCGAGCTTTGGATCTATATTTAGGCATTTCACAGCTGGCACCTCCAGTTTTATCTGAGACAGTTCATGATGCCTACTGATGTCCAGTCCCCTGGTGTCTGACCTGAGCTGACATAAATAATCTGTTTAGCATTCAGAAATTAAGAAGTTCAATAACGCGGTGTTGCTTTGATCTCTTTTCTGAACTTCTCCGTATGCACATTTATAACACATAATGTGTGTTATGATCTTCTGTGGTCTTTCACTATTGGGAGAAAAAAAAATACAGTAAATTTTACTGGTACTGCTATTGTAAATCGCAGCAATTCTCAGTCAGAATTTTGGTGTGGCAGCTTCCTAAATATTAGATAATAGATTGTTAAGAATCTGGTGCACATGAGGAAAATTATAGAAATTATAGATTAGAAATAAATAGGTTTTGGAGTCTGCCCGTACATCAGTGTATGGTGCAGTGTAGAAAAGCTGGTGTAGCTTTTTTTCTTCAAATTCACTTTACAAGAGCCAGTGCTGTGGTATAAAAATTATTAAAGCATGTGAAATTTAGACACAGCAGAATCACTACATTCTCCTTCATGAAAGAAACACACAAAAAACTGAAGTTTGACAAAAATGGCATAGATCACAAATAAAACATTGAAAAGCCACACAAGTTAATACTTCAGTGCAAAAGATTGACAACATTAACAACCTATTTGATGGACTTAATCAGCTGTGTAATTATCAGATAAGCTAGACATTGTGACTAATAAACATCTTTGAATAAATCATTATAATTACATACAAATACAACGTCTAATTGTGTGTCAATTGAAAGGGTGCTGGAGGCAACTTCATTTCTCAGAAGTAGTTCATTTCCTTCCTGCGTTTATTGTTGCACATCCTGGCCAGGGATGAATTTGATCCCTGACTCCAAAGGATATGCTGCACTGTGTATCATTTGCCCTTTAGGACACGGCAGAGTGATCGATATGAATGCACAGAAGAAACCAAAAGGAAAAAGGCACTCTGACCCAGCTTACTTTTGAACTAGTGCCCAAGACATGGAACACATAGCTGCTAGGAATGATTTTTCAGGACAGGTTGAATGCCTGCCACTATTTGTTTTTTATATTTAGAATAATTAGACATCTAGCCAGTTGCTTCAGTACAGAACAATCAGAACTGAAACAGGCCTATTTTTAGAAAGCAGGAGACTTCCTATTAGAAAAACAGTATACACCTTGTGCTGTCTCTGAGATTCAGACTGACAGAGCACTTGGACTTCTATTTAAGTGTATAGCTACATTTCTAATGATTTGCACCTGAAAAAAAAACATGTTCTTGGAAAACAAAAATGAGGATGTTGGTCACAACAGCTATTTCTGAAACAGGATCTTCCATGAAAAGAACTTAGAAATTGCCTGTGTCATTCCTCACACAGTCTAATTTTTACTAGAAAATTATCACCTCTTCTATAAATTTGACAGTTATCAAACTATTCTAAGGAAAAAAGTGCTAGCATTATTAATACTGCAGTAACACCAAATGGCTTAGACAAAAGATCGCAGTGCGCCAGAAAGAAACAGCAAACTTTTGTTTGTCAAGAATACATCACGTACATCTACTTTAATTTCTTCTGACAGAGTAACTGATTTAGTGAGCAAAGAGGAAAAGCAGTGAAACAATTACTTCAATAAGTCTTTTGACACTATTTCTACATAAAATAACTATAACTGCATAACTGCTTGAAAAAAATGAATTCTACATTGTCACAGTGGATTTTTTTTTTCTCAGAACCTCAAAAATACACCACTGCGTATCCGATTCTGTTCAAATTTTTTCATTAACAAATTGACTGATGGAACTGCAAATGTATTTATAAACAGCAACTGGCACCAGGTTTAGAGGAAAAATAAGTACTTTGGAAGACATGATCAGAATTCAAAATGATGTTGATAAGTGGTTGATTCAACCAGAGAAAACTCAAAACAAAGTGCCATAATTTGAAATGAGAAATAAGATGGACAGAAACAAATGGTCAGAGGGCCCTACTGCAGAAAAGAGCCAGAACCATAAACGGCATATGATTCAACAGGATAATACTATTGCAGGGTCAGGGAGCACAGACTGAACTGACTTTGATGAGAAAGCACTCACTTATGGAAGTAGCTGCTTGTGTATATACCTGGCTTAAAACATGACAGAGCAAACTGTCTTACAAAGCAGGCTTCAGCCCTGTAATATAATCAGTTTATAGGGGGCCAAAAGTTTGCTAGCAAAGAGTGTAGAGTGGAATCATAGAATGGTTTGGATTGGAAGGGACCTCAAGGATCATCAAGCTCCAATCCAACAACAAACAGGGCCACCAACCTCCTTATCTAATGCTAGGCCAACCTCTCCAGGGTCCGATCCAACCTGGCCTCAAACACTGCCAGGAATATGCTAGTAGAAGTGTGAAGACAGAGTGATAGCCTTCTTGCTGCACTCTGGGCACCAGGCTTGATTTTATGCATCCCAGCACCTCACAGGGCAGGCTGTGGGGAGGTCTGAGGGAGGTGGGAATTCCACATCTCTGATGATCTGACTGTCACCGAGAACTCTCAAGAGGAAAACATCCTTTGAAGCCTATTTCTGGATACAACAGTTTGGCTGTCTCACTTGTGTAAAGATTAGGATGCCACTTGTTGGACTGAATGCTTTCTCTTTATTAATCTGGCCTTTTGAAAGTTTTCAGTATCACTATTCTATGTATAGGGCTTTCCCTAAAGGAATGTCTCATCCTTTGGTGAGAAAAATCATAGAATCATAGAATCATAGAATGGCCTGGGTTGAAAAGGACCACAATTATGATCTAGTTTCAACCCCCCTGCTATGTGCAGGGTCACCAACCAGCAGACCAGGCTGCCCAGAGCCACATCCAGCCTGGCCTTGAATGCCTGCAGGCATGGGGCATCCACAACCTCCTTGGGCAACCTGTTCCAGTGCATCACCACTCTCTAAGTGACAAACTTCCTCCTAATATCCAACCTAAACCACCCTTGTCTTAGTTTAAAACCATTCCCCTTGTCCACTCCCTGAGTTATTTACGTTTCTCTTTTAATACGTCTCTCGATAGTCATGAGCTTTTTATTTTATTTTATTTTATTTGAACTCACTACCACCACAATGAACAGTCACTCTGATAAATGAAAGATGGTGAAGTTTCTGTTGTTTCCTGAGCTGTTCAGCAAGGCAGCTGTTTATCTGTCCATGCATAAACCCCTCACTGTTTCATACTGTATGCTTCATGTTCTTGCTGAGACTAACTGTACTCTTCTACACTGCACAATCCCGTCCAGCAACCACCTGTTTAACTTCTTAAATTAGGCTTCAGTCTTTTGCAATACTAGCCTGGTCTAGTATAAAATGTGGAGCTTGGTGGTCCTGCATGTGGCAGGGGGATTGGAGAGTCATGATCCTTGAGGTCCCTTCCAACCCTGGCCATTCTGTGATTCTGTGATTCTGTGATTCTGTGGAATATTAATGACAGTGAAGTATTAGAAGTGTGGGAAAAAAACCCAAACCTAACAACACTCTATGCATGAGGCTGAGATTGTTGAACACAGTCAATCCACATCCACAAAGTATTCTGTATTGGTGCTATACGGCTGCCGGGGAGAGCCTGGAGGATTCCTGAGGGCAGTTGCTATTCACTCCCTGGAGAACATAAGGGCTTTACCTTGGCTTAGTGACCCCATAGCTAAGAGAACCTAAAACACCAAAGGAAGAATTCTTTGTGGAGGAGTGACTGGCGAGAAACAAGTGGAATCAGTTGAATTCTCAGGACAGCTCATCTGTCCCTGAAGTGTTTAGTAAGAAATATTGTCCCATTAAATTAATTAATGTAAAGTCACAAATGAGATGAACATTTGGGGAGTGAAGTCCACCTGAAGTCCTAACAAGTGGCATCATCCATGAGAGGAGAGTGATGCTTGACTATTCTGTATTTCCTCTGCAAATATTGCAGAGAGATGATAAATCTAAGCTCATATTGGGAGACCTACAGCTTCCACTCTCACCTAAAAAATTAAAAAGTAATTTTTTTACTGTTTCTTTCATCAGCAAGGTCTAGGCAGAAAATCTATTCTTCCTGTCAATCCATAGCAGAAATTATAGAAGTACAAAAAAAAAAAAAAAGAGTGTGACAATCTAAGAGTCACAAGTTTCTTCCAGAGGAACTCTCCTCTAATTTGGGCAGATATCTTCCTTTTCCTACCTGGAACAAAACTCTAAGACTGCTCTGGATTTACTCA